TCTGAAACGTGGGTGCCTTGCTATGGAAGAAGATGACAGTGCGGCCCCAGCTGAAGACACAAAAAACAGAAGGGCTCTGAATGCTGTCTGACCAAAAGACAAGGTGGGCTGCAGAATGATGGCTTACCCAACAGAGAAAATGTGCCTGGGCCACCAGAACCTGTAAGTGCCAAGAGAGGCAAAATGACTACTGATGATCTGTTGGAGGAAGAGGAAGAAGAGGAGGAAGATGGCCTTTCAGAGGAGGGGGAGGAGGAAGAGGAACAGAGTTTTGCAGACATGATGAAACATGGACTTACTGAACTTGATTGTGGGCATCACCAAGTTTGTAAGTTCTCATCAAGGATTCTCCGGAATTTTAAAAGAAAGATACTCTGACTTTGTTGTTCATGAAGTCAGAAAAGATGGACAGATCAGCCATTTGGATGACTTGTCTATTCCAGTGGATGAGGAGGATCCTTCAGAAGATGTATTTACAGTTTTGACAGCTGAAGAAAAGCAGCAACTGGAAGAGTTCCAGCTTTTTAAAAATAAGGAAACCAGTGTTGCCATTGAGATTGCAGATGATCAGCTGGTCATGAAATCAAGTTAGTATGTCTTACGATCAACTTTTTTTTTTTTTGTCGGGGGATACCAGAGATTGAACTCAAGGGCTCTATACCACTAAGCTACATCCCCAGCCCTATTTTGTATTTATTTAGAGAGAGGGTCTCACTGAGTTGCTTTAGTGCTTCACTGTTGTTGAGGCTGGCTTTGAACTCGTGATCCTCCTGTCTCAGACTCCTGAGCCGTTAGGATTATAGGCGTGCTCCACCAAGCCCTGCTTTACAATCAACATTTTTAATTATTTTTTTTATTATATATGATAGTGAAATGCATTACAATTCTTATTACACATATAGAGCACAATATTTCATATCTCTGGTTGTATACAAAGTATATTCACACCAATTCATGTCTTCATACATGTAACTTTGGATAATAATGTCCATTATATTCCACCATTATTTCTAACACCACGCCCCTCCCTTCCCTCTGCCTATCCAGTTTGTCTATTCCTCCCATGCTCCCCCTCCCTACCCCACTATGAATCAGCCTCCTTATATCAGAGAAAACATTCAGCATTTGTTTTTTTAAGATTGGCTAACTTAGCACTATCTTCTTCAACTCCATCCATTTACCTGCAAATTGCCATGATTTTATTCTCTTTTATTGCGGAGTAATGTCCCATTGTGTATATATGCCACATTTTTTAATCCATTCATTTATTGAAGGCATCTAGGTTGGGTCCACAGTTTAGGTTTCATGAATTGTGCTGCTATAAACATTGATGTGGCTGTGTCCCTGTAGTATGTTGCTTTTAAGTCCTTTGGTTATAGACCGAGGAGAGGGATAGCTGGGTCAAATGGTGGTTCCATTCCCAATTTTCCAAGAAATTTCCATACTGCTTCCATATTGGCTGCACCAATTTGCAGTCCCACCAGCAATGAGTGTACCTTTTCCCCCACATCCTCACCAACACTTATTGTTGTTTGTCTTCATAATAGCTGCCATTCTGACTGGAGTGAGATGAAATCTTAAGAGTGGTTTTGATTTGTATTTCTCTAATTGCTAGCAATGATGAACATTTTCATATATTTGTTGATTGACTGTATATCATCTTCTGAGAAGTGTTTGTTCAGGTCCTTGGCCCATTTATTGATTGGGTTATTTGTTTTTTTGGTGCTTAGCTTTTTGAGTTCTTTATATACCCTAGAGATTAGTGGACTATCTGATGTGTGAGGGGTAAAGATTTACTCCCAAGATGTAGGCTCTCTATTCACCTCACAGATTGTTTCTTTTGCTGAGAAAAAACTTTTTAGTTTGAGTGCAATCAGCATTTTTTAATGGAAATAAATAAAATAGAAAATATCTTTGTATTGAGTATAATGTTAGCATTTTTTTGTGAAGTCTTTTTTTTTAATATGGCCTGTATACCCATTTGTGCTGTTAAGTAGAAGTAAAATGTGTTTCTTAGTGTGAGATGCTCTCAAAAACTGAAATGTTGTGTAACCAATAAATTTACATTTTGTTTATATATAATTTTTTTAAAAACGCAGGTGCACAAAGAAAATGACACTTCATTAGCACCATGGTCTGCCCTCCATAAAATACAGTCAAATTTAACTCAAAATAAATGATAAAAATCTACTTATTCAAATGAAATATAGATACTTTTTAACTGACAACTTTAAAAATAATCCTTATGTTAAGGAACACTTAAGATATGCACATAGATTGACTCTCTGATTAACCAAATGATGTATGATCTTTACAAATCACAAATTTATGACACATCAAGGAATTACATAACACAGGATCTGGACTGTTTTACATACTGCATCTTTTATATCTAAGAAGACTCTTTAAAGGATGCTAATGATCATTTGAAGTGGGAAACTCAAATGTCTAACTGCAAATAAACTGATATGAACAAACAATCCAACTTCAATAGTTTAATACTCTTAGACATCTATTATCTGTCAATTTCTGTGGGTTGCATGTTGAACACAGCATACTGGTCACTTTCTTAAGGCTGGCGGGAATGAGGCCTGACCTCAGAGACACCTGGTCCCTCCTTCTCCCACTTTCATCTTATTGGCCTGAGCAATTCAGCACAAGTGCTTTTTTTGACTCAAAATTAATTCAACTTTTATCTGCAAAACTCCTTCACATTTACCCAAGAGCACTGCTTAGTGTGTTTTACCCATCAACTCTGCCAATTCCTGAGGAGAATCAGGGCACAGCCCCCATCTGCAGGGAACAAAAGGCCAGATCACCAAGCCTGCAGGAGGAAGTCCCCTGGGGACCCCAGAGCCCAGGGACTGTTGCAGCAGCCTCCCAGGCACTTTTGTTGACTCTGAAGATTGAGTAGATAGGGTCCCTTAGTGTTTGCAATATAAGCCCTCCTTGACTTTGTGTTGTGATTAGGGAAGCCAGAAATTAACCTTGAGGACTATCAAGAAAGCAAGTAACAATTAATGCTGGATAGGATGCAGGAAAAGAATTATACACTCATACTTTGATGTTGGGACTGCAAATTGGTTCAATCACTCTGGAAAGCAGTGTGGAGATTCCTTAGAAAACTTGGAATGGAAAAACAATTTGACCCAGTTATTCCACTCTTTGGTTTATACCCCAAAGACTTAAAATCAGCATACTACAGTGACACAGCAGCATCAATATTTATATCAGCTTAATTTACAATAGCCAAGCTTTGGAATCAACCTAGGTACTCTTCAACAGATGAATGGGTAGAGAAAATGTGGTACATATACACAATGGAATGTTACTCAGCTATAAATAATAATAAAATTATGGTATTTGCTGCTGAATGGATGAAACTGGAGAATATCATGCTCAGTGAATTAAGCCAGTCCCCCCCAAAACAAAAGTTGAATATTCTCTCTGATGTGTGGATGCTAACCCATAACAAGGGAGGCAGGGAAGGGAAGTATAGAAACTCATGGGTCAGACAAAGGGGATTAAATGGTGGAGTGGGAATAGAACACAGTAGAATAAATCAGACATATGCTCATATATGAATACATGAAAGTATAACTCCACATCATTTTCAACCACGAGAATGAAATAAAAACTGCAATGGGTTACACTCCATTTGTGTATAATATGTCAAAACACTCTACTGTCATGTGCATCTAAAAACAATACATAAAAATATAAGAAGTGAGCCTTGATGGTTTATCAGTAAGTGTGACCTGACGTTTTCCTCTTGCAAATTTTAATATTCCTTTTTTGTTTTATATGGTAGGACTACTACAGTTTTATTTAGTGCAACCAGAAAACTTACAAATATTAGATCATGTATGTTGAAGTAAATTTATTTGTTGATATCTTCATTTGCTACCAAAATGTTATTTTATATAGAGCCTGACGAACTGATTATTAACAGTGAAGAAAAATTTAAGTGTACTTTTTAATTCAATATGTAAAATGCATAGCTAGGCTGAAGCATGCACACGTTCTCTTTTTTATATAACTCCCACAGGTTTGAAATAATGAGAGAATCATTTAAATGCTGTTGATTAAGTTTCTATTTAACTTTAGGTGCAAGTGTATACCTAGTGGTGGAGAACTTGCCACATTCTCTTACCTTTCTTATAAAATTTAGAACTTCTCAAAATTCATGCACAATATATATAAAGTCAGAAGGTATTTGAAGAGATAGTACATACTAGATTTTAAACACACATATATACATAGTATGTATAACATTATGTCATAATATGTAAGAGTTGACTACAGATGCAAAAAACTTAAATTAAGAAAAATAGAATCTAATAATATGTAAAGAGATTTAACCCATTAAAAGCATGTTGCTTTCACATCCTCATGCTGATGCAATGTTCATTCACCCCAGGATGCATTTCCATTACCTCTGAATAGACAAAGGAGAAATGAAGGCACACACTTGCAGAGCTTTTCTCAAGAAAAATGTCACTTGCTGAAGGAAGCACACAACTAATTCCAATGGCTCAAAAGGCTAAGCAGGAGCAATACAAGTTCAAAGCCAGCCTCTGCAACTTAGTGAAGATCTAAGCAATTCAGTGAGACTATGTTTTAAGTTTTTATAATAATTTAAAAAGGGCTGAGATGTGGTTCAGTTCATAAGCAACTCTGGGTTTAATCCCTGGTACCAAAAAAAGGAAAAACAAATGTACTCAAATCTGAACAAGACTGAATGAAACTGAAACAACTGAAGGCCTTGCCACATTTCTACATACAAGGGTTTTCTCCACTATGAGTTCTTCCATGCGATTTCAAAAGACCTGGAAAGTTGATAGTGTGACCACCTTGCTTAAGGACAGAAGGTGATCTCATTCCTTTCATGTCTGAAGGAAACTGTGTAAGTTGAATATTGTCCCACATTGTTTATGCACAGGGTTTTGATACTGTGTGAGTCCTTTCATACAACTGAACAAACTAGAATATCTAAAGCCTTTACATTTCTTACTTGAATAGAATTTATTATTTTAATATTATTATTTTGCATGAATCGTTCAAGATGAATATTTCCAGTTCTTAGAAGGAACTAAAAAACCTAAAAGACACATTTCTCACAGTTACAGGCTTCTCTCCATGAATACTTTCGTATATAAGAAGGAAAATAAAACATCACACTGCCAGGAGATTTGTTTTACAGGGTAAATGAAATGTCTTTGAAGGCAATGAGAAAAAGGAAGAATTTCCATATTTTTTACATTTAGAGTTATTCAGTCTGATGTGATGGTGTACACCTGTAATCCCAGCAATCAGGACAATGAGTCTGAAGGATCACAAGTTTGAGGTCAGTCTCCAGAACTTAGCATGACCCTAAGCAACTCCACTAGTGCCTCACTCAAAATAAAAAATAAAAATGACTGAGGATGGGCTCAGTGGTCAAACACACAAGTACAAAACAAAACAAAACAAATCTGCAATTTGAGCCCTCTCATGTCTTAGAAGGAGACAAGGAGTATTGATTTACCACATTTTTTCACTGCAAGGATTTTTCCCCAGTACACTTACTACTACATGTTTATGAGTAAAATGGTAATAACGAAGACTTTGTCCATTGTTTTCATTAGTAGGATTTCTCTCCAGTATGAGTTTGTTCATGTCTGTGAAGCTGAAAAAATGTAGCAAAGGCTTTTCCACGTTGTTGACATTCATAGGGCTTCTCTCCAGTATGTGTTCTTCCATGAATCTGAAGGTGACTGGATCTAGCAAATGCTTTTCCACATTGTTGATGTTAAGAGGTTTCTCTCCAATGAGTTTGTTCATGTGAGTGAAGATGACAAGACTGAGTGAAGGCTTTGCCACACTGCTTACATTTATAGGGCTTCTCTCTAGTATGAGTTCTTCCATGTTTGTTAAGGCAACCGGACCTAGCAAAGGCTTTCCCACATTGTTGACATTCATAGGGCTTCTCTCCAGTATGTGTTCGTTCATGTGAGTGAAGGTTAGAGGACTGAGTGAAGGCTTTGCCACACTGCTTACATTCATAGGGCTTCTCTCCAGTATGAGTTCGTTCATGTATTCGAAGATAAGAGGAAGTAGTGAAGGCTTTTCCACATTGTTGACATTCATAGGGCTTCTCTCTAGTATGAGTTCTCCTATGTATGTGAAGGCAACTGGATGTAGCAAAGGCTTTTTCACATTGTTTACACTTATAGGGCTTCTCTCTAGTATGAGTTCTTTTATGTTTGTGAAGGCAACTGGATGTAGCAAAGGTTTTTCCACATTGTTTACATTCATAGGGTTTTTCTCCAGTATGTGTTCTTCCATGTATGTGAAGCTGACAGGATGTAGAAAAGGCTTTTCCACATTGTTTACATTCATAGGGCTTCTCTCCAGTATGCAATCTTCCGTGTGTATGAAGTTGATGGGATACAGCAAAGGCTTTTCCACACTGTTTACATTCATAGGGCTTCTCTCCAGTATGTGTTCGTCCATGAATCTGAAGGTGACAGGATCTAGCAAACGCTTTTCCACATTGTTTACATTCATAAGTCTTCTCTCCAATATGAGTTTGTTTATGTGAGTGCAGGTGAAAAGACTGAGTGAAGGCTTTGCCACACTGCTTACATTTATAGAGCTTCTCTCTAGTATGAATTCTTCTATGTTTGTTAAGGCAACTGGATGTAGCAAAGGCTTTTCCACATTGTTGACATTCATAGGGCTTCTCTCCAGTATGAGTTCGTTCATGTGAGTGAAGGTTAGAGGACTGAGTGAAGGCTTTGCCACAGTGCTTACATTTATAGGGCTTCTCTCCAGAATGAGTTCGTTCATGTATTTGGAGATAAGAGGAAATAGTGAAGGTTTTTCCACATTGGAGACATTCATAGGGCTTCTCTCTACTATGAATTTTTCCATGTTTATGAAGGCATCTCAAGGTAGCAAAGGCTTTTCCACATTGTTGACATTCATAGGGCTTCTCTCCAGTATGAATTCGTTCATGTGAATGAAGGTTAGAAGACTCAGTGAAGGCTTTGCCGCACTGCTTACATTTATAGGGCTTCTCTACAGTATGAGTTTTTTCATGTATTTGGAGACAAAAGGAAGTAGTGAAGGCTTTTCCACATTGTTGACATTCGTATGGTTTCTCTCTATGAGTTCTTTCATGTTTGTGAAGGGAACTGGATGTAGTGAAGACTTTTCCACATTGCTTACATTCATAAGGCTTCTCTCCAGTATGAATTCGTTCATGTGCAGAGAGGTTAGAGGACTGAGTGAAGGCTTTGCCACACTGCTTACATTTATAGGGCTTCTCTCCAGTGTGGATTCGTTCATGTATCTGGAGATGAGAGGAAGTGGTGAAGGCTTTTCCACATTGTTGACACTTATAGGTCTTCTCTCTAGTATGAGTTCTTCCATGTTTGTTAAGGCAACTGGATTTAGCAAAGGTTTTTCCACGCTGTTTACAATCATTTATCTTCTCTCCAGTATGCATTCTTCCATGTATGTGAAGCTGACAGAATGTTGCAAAGGCTTTTCCACATTGTTCACATTCATAGGGCTTCTCTCCAGAATGGGTTCTTTCATGTATTTGAAACTGAGGGAATGTAGCAAAGGCTTTTCCACATCGTTTACATTCATAGGGCTTTTCTCCAATATGAGTTTGTTCATGTAATTGAAGTTGAGAGGAACAAGTAAAGGTTTTGTCACATCTTTTACATTCATAGAGTTTTTGTACATTATGAGTTTGTTCATGTGAGTGAAGGGTAGAACACTGAGTGAAGGCTTTTCCACACTGTTTACATTCATAAGGCTTCTCTCTAGTATGTGTTCTTCCATGTATCTGAAGATGACTGGATCTAGAAAAAAATTTTCCACATTGTTTACATTCATAGGGCTTCTCTCCAGTATGCATTCTTCCATGTCTGTGAAGTTGATGGGCTGTAGCAAAGGCTTTTCCACATTGCTGACACTCATAGGGCTTCTCTCCAGTATGAGTTCGTTCATGTGAGCGAAGGTTAGAGGACTGAGTGAAGGCTTTGCCACACTGCTTACATTTATAGGGCTTCTCTCCAGTATGAGATCGTTCATGTACTTGGAGGTGAGAGGGAAAAGTGAAGGCTTTGCCACACTGCTTACATTTATAGGACTTCTCCCCAGCATGACTTTGTTTATGTATGTGAAGGGAAGAAGAATTTGAGAAGGCTTTTCCACACTGCTTACATTCATAGTGCTTCTCTTCTGTATGAGTTATTTGGTGTCTTCTACATGAACTGGGATTAGTGAAGGCTTTCCCACATTGCTCACATTTATAGGGCTTCTCTCTGGTGTGAGTTACTCCATGGCATTTAAGGGATTTGGAATATTTGAAGCCTTTCACCCAATTTATGCATTCATGGCATTGCTCCTCAGTAGGTGTTTGTTCATGTCTTCTAAAAAGATAGGGAGAACAAAAGGCTTTTCCAAATACCCTACACCTAAAACGTTTATCACGACTGTGTGTTATCATTTGTCTCTGAACATCGGTGAAAGAAGAAGACGTCTCACCGCATTGTGTACTTTCATAGGGTTTCTGCCCAGTATGGGTTTCTTCATGTCTTTGAATGGAATTGGGACAACTGAAGACATTCCCACACACTGTACTTTTATAAGGTCCATTTACAGTTTGTATTAACATTTGTGTTTCACCACTTCTACGAGAAACCAGAGATTTCTCATATTGTTTAAATTCACATGGCTTCTCTTCACATTCCACATGCATGTAGGGTTTCTGTCCAGAGTGAGATGTGATCTGCCTATGAAGGAATAAAGGGCATATGAAGTCTTTTGAATACATAATGCAGTAACATGGATTTACTCTATTAAATTTTTTCTTTGTCAGGTTAATTTAACCATGACTTCTATAAAAATGACCAGCACATTATCAATGCTTGATTTATTAATGATTTTCTATTCATTAATAGGTCTTGGGCTTATATTACCACCAATGCAGTTAAACAGTAGGTTTTCTGACTTGTTCAAATTGCCTGAAAATAAACAGATTGAAAGAAAACAATCCTTACCAACACAGTTTCCCTATAGCTTTTATCCAAACAGTGATATGCACATATGCAATTTCATAGTATTTTTTTTCATGTTGACTACTTTGAAAAGACTGAGTATCTATGTTACATGCAAATATATATATATATATGGTAAAAAATATTTATAAGAATAAACACATTTCACATTGTACATATTTCTTTGGTTGGTTTGTTTTAAAAATCAGATGACATTGTAAGATTTCCTCAAGGACATTGCCCCCTCTGGTGAGTACAATTACCTTAGACTACTCCCAGAATTTTCAATCTGAACTTCAATGTTCTTGTCTTCCCATGTGTTTCCTAAAATGGCAACACAGAACAATCATTATGTATTACTTATGAGCTAGAAAAACTTTGCCACAGTCTATGTGCATTTTATGTTGCAATAATTCATCAAAGGATTCCCTTTTCACATTCTACATAAATGACCAAATAAACACTGGTTCTCTATTTGACTAAATAAAGAAACATCACTATTACCTATAGTAGTCAGGTTTCTGAGGACTTCCAGCATCACATCTCTGTAAAGATTCTTCTGGGATAGATCCAGCAAAGTCCATTCCTCCTGGGTGAAGTTCACAGCCACATCCTCAAAGGTCACTGAGATCTAAAATATCACACAAATATGTATTGGAGGCCAGAAGAGATGATAACCTGGGGAATCTATAATCAACATGCATGATGTTCACATGATTCTCTGGCCTCCAGATAAATTCCATGATTTGGTCCATCAAATCTTTAATGCACTATATTCCTCATAGCCATTCCAACACTAGAATTGGGCCACTCAAAAGTCAAACAATAGAGTGTTTGACACCCTTCCTAGTGGTAAGTTCACAGGAAATAAGACATGCTCCCTGGTTATTCCTAACCTTTTTTTGTTGGTTACCCGTGTATTACATGTTCTAACAATGTCCTGTGCAGTACAGAGCTAACATTAGCACTCCTGATATTATTTACCCTTAGAAAAGAAAGGTGACAGAGTAGGAAATTGCTGGAATCAGGAAACTCAGCATTTGAGACAAATCCTGCAAACCACAGTGGTTCACTGTGCCTACACAGTTTATGTAAACAACATGGTATTTCTGATCTGTTTTCCTTCTAAAAGTCTATTGTGCCTTCCTTCCAGAAGTGCCTATAATCACCCCTCACACACACCCTCTAGGCATGCGCTCACTAATAAGCTTTCCTCCCAGATAATCTTTAACCACTTAGTCACAATATGTTAATTGGGGATTATTCTCATCCTGTGTAATGATTAAACCAAGAGAACACGTATAATTTGTCAGGTGCTTTACTCCAGATCAAATTTAGCCAAGTAATAAGCAAATGCAATGATCAATAACAGAATAATTTGGTAATTTCTAATGGTTAATATCAAAGCAAAATGGGGTAAATGGGAAGATGGCATGTGTCTTAGAAATAAGTCAACGTCCCCAAGATGTCACCTTCTCCTAACAACCTTACAAAGTTTTATAAGTCTCATAATAGAAACCACTTTTCCAAACTCACAGGAATAATGAACGTCCAGCAACTGCCAAACACTGCTGAACAGCAGAGGGTTCACTCACATAATGTATAGTCATGCACCACATAGCCATGTTCTGCTCAAGGACATTGTGATCAAGGATGGGCAATATGTGTAATTGTTGTCTGTTGTGAAAGAGATTCTGCAAGGCTGTAGAGATGCTGATGCAAAAAAACCTAAGGCAGGAGAACTTCCATGGTGTGACACACAACCACACTCAAGGCCTTAGACATGGGACATTCAGAGCAGCACAATATCAGCAAAAGTTAGCAAATGACCATAAGAAAGCATTCAGTGGGTTGGCCTTCAAGGCTTGGAAAGATGATGAGTGACAGCAGGTGTTGTGGAGTCAGATCACAATTGTGGTCCAGGCAAACAGAAATCCGAGGGGTAAAGGCAGTGCATCCCTTTATTTTCTAGACAAAAAGACCATTTATTATACATTCAAATGTGAAAGAATAAAATACTTTTCAAAAACCTACAGAAAAATTAATGTAAATTTATTTATGGTGGGCAAATTAAAGAAAGAAAAAAAAATGCATGGAGTGAACCCAGGGCTGCTTAATGACTGAGCTACATCCTGAGCACATGTGTTATTTGTAGACAGGGTCATACTAAGTTGCTCAGGGCAAGGACACTGAGATCTGGAAGCAACAGTTTATTAGTGGCACCATAGCCCAGAGGAACAATTCTTAAAGCCCAAGCCATAAGAAAGTTTTTGGTACATCAAGTCAAGGGACCTGGTGCAATATTTTGGAGGGTGCATATTATATTCTTATATGGGCATAAGCCTTTCAACAGTCTAAGAACTCAGTTTAGGGACTTTTACTTCACTAAGCCTAAAGAGGGATTGTTCTGTTCCTGCTACTTTGTTTGCTGCTTCTGCTACCATGGTTATCTTGTTACAGGCACCTGCAGCTGCTGCAATCCTGCATGAAATGTCAGTAAGCAGAGCTGCTGTGGGTCGGCCTGCAAAATCACAGCTCTTAAACTGTGAAAGTTTCCATCCTTCCTACCACAAGGAATTCAGGGAAATCTGTCAAACTGGCTGAACACAAGCTAATTCACTACACATAGCACAAACAACAAAGTTTCTAGGAAATGCATGAAGCCTTCAACAAACAGGAACAATGCCACAGGAGAAAGAAAAATATTTCCATTTAACTTTTCAAAAACAACAAACATTTACAAAGTATACTGAGAAACAGAAAGGCCCATCTTATCAAATAAACGACTTGAGATAGACCATCTCCGAGAAAGATCAAACTCCAGAATCCCTACACTAATGTCTTTCTTTCTTCCTTTTTTTTTTTTTTTTTTGGTAACAGAAATTGAACTCAGGAGTGCTTAACCTCTGATCCACACTCCAAGCCCTTTTAATTTTATTTATTTACTTTGAGATCATGTCTCTATAAGTTGTTTAGAGCCTAAGTTGAAATTGTAAACCTCCTGAGCTGCTGGGATTACAGGCATGCGCCACGGAGCCAGCCCTAGGTTAAACACTCAACTAACTGTCTTGAATTTTTTAATACACATGCACCTGAAAGAAAGTCAAAATACACCAGGCAGAGACATACAGAACCGCCCAGGACAATAAAAACCCACAGTTACACTGGGAGACATCAGCACAACTCTGTTAGGTCTGAGACCACACAGCAGAGGAGCAGACAGGAGGACTTCCTTGGCCTTTAGCCAACATTGAAGCACACAGCCTTCTCAGGGCCACAGCAACACCCTCCAGGACAGGGCACATTCTGAGCCATAAACCACACCCCTACAAGTGTGCAACACCAGTGAAATCCCAAGCATGCTCAAAGAACATGGGAATTAAAGCTGAAATCAGATCAGAAGCAGCTGGAAAGCCTCCAGGAAATGAAAGGTGAAACAGGCTCTAAACAGACACAGGAGGAAGACGTGACTCAAGGGAAAAGTTGACCATTTTGAGAGAAATGGAATGCAAAAGTGCACTGTAGGAAATCAGATGGTGCTTCAGGGATATATAAGGCCTCTATTGTACATTTCAGAAAAGAAGAGCTAAAAGCAATAATTGAACCTTCTAATTCAGGAAACCAGAGAAAGACGACCAAGGGAAATGTAAATGAAACACAAGAAAGTAAAAGAAAGACTGTTGATGAACCCACAATCAGGAAATCAACAACCTGCAGAACGAAATTCTTCATGAACATCAGCATCACTAAAAAACTGATATGAGGCCAAACAAAGAGAGGTTGAGGTTCAGTGGTAGAGCACCTGCCTAGCACCTGTGAGGATTCAATCCTCAACACCACATGAAAAAATGAATAAAATAAAGGGACAAAAAAAAAAAAATGAAAACATAGAAGACAAAAGAAAGCTGAGGACAAATAATCTACACATTAGAATAAAAGTGCCACCGATACCAATTCATAGGCACTTCAAGTAAATCATGAGCATGTGCTTCACACAACTTTGATAACTGAGAGGAACTGGACCAATTCTTTATCTCCTACAACTTACACACAAGGAGAAATACACAAATGGATAAGCCAATGCCTACTGAAGAAACTGTGTCAATAACTAATTCACCTCACCCTGAAGGGCACAGGGCAGGTATAGGCACCTTGGGGCAGCCTCTGGAAAGAAAAATGACTGAGGACATTGGACCCTATGAGGCGTCCAAAAGGATCCTCTCTGCCCAAGAAATTCTGATACGGTGCCTGCATTTAAGGAAGATAAAAGGAGAAGCATGAGATTTTTACAGGTGTGAACTGAAGTTCTCTATGAAGTTGCATCTACATCAAAGAACTTTCAGACTACTTGACTCTGGCTAACTAGACCACCAAGAGGATGGAAAGACTAGATTCTCTATGGAGAGCAAAAATTATCTTGGGCTATCTTAAGTCCTTTAATAGCCAATCCTCAACTTTTGTATCAGACCAAATTCTCAGAACTAATAAACTTCTGCTGGGCTTGGTGGTGCATATCTGCAATCCCAGCTGCTTGGAAGGCTGAGGCAGGAGGTTATGAGTTCAAAACCAGTCTCAGCAATTTAGTGAAGCACTAAGCAACTCAGCAAGATCCTGTCTCAAATAAAATAGAAAAATGGGCTGAGGAGGTGGCTCAGTGGTTGAGTGCCCTGGATTCAATCTCCAGTACCAAAACAACAACCACCACCCCTACAACAACAAAAAATGAATGAATTTCTCAGAATGTATCCATAACCTAACCAGACATCTACCTTCCATCATTCCCCAAGGCTAGTAATATAATAAAAACAGACCTATAGAAGAAATTTCCCCTTTTTTTGCTGTAGCCTACCAATATGATGCTCCTACCAATGCAATGGGTTAATGTATACATATATAAATTTCTTTTATCCTGACTATGACAGTTCCTAGAGGCAAAGCAGAGTAATCCCAGCAGTTTGAGAGACTGAGGCAGGAGGATTGATAAATTCAAAGTCAGCCTTGGCAACTCAGATCACATCTCAAATGAAAACATACAAAGGTCTGGGGATGGGGCTCAGTGGTTAAGTGCCAATCAGTTCAATCCCTGGTTAAAAAAAAAAAAAATGATGTATGTAATATATTCCAGGGTGGAACATATACATCATTAAGGGTAACCTGAATCCATGTTCCTGAATATAGTCATTAATATTTGGATCAAAATGAACTATTTTCCTCAGGTGGGGTGGCCAGTGCCTTTAATCCCAACAGCTTGAGAAGCTGAGGCAGAAGGATCACAAGTTCCAGGGCAACATAGCCACACCCTGTCTGAAAATAAAATTTAAAAGGGATGGGAATGAAGGACAGTAGAATAAATCAGACATTATTACCCTATGTGCATATATGACTGCATGGCCTGTGTGAATCCACATCACATACAAGCAGAAAAAAGAGAATTTAAATTCTATTTACATATGGTGTGTCAAAATGCATTCTACTGTCATTATAACTAATGAAAACAAATTTTAAAAAATAAATAATTTATACAAAAAAAGGGCAGGGTATGTAAACCAGGATTCAATATCCTTTGTACCAATAACCAATTGCTTTATTTTCTTTAAAGCAGTTATTTTACACAAACAAGGGAAAGTGTCAAGTGATTAATCTATTCACAAATAGAAAACAAATTATTTCAAAAGTGTTAGTCTTGCCAGGGATGGTGGCATAGGCCTGTAATCCCAGGGACTCAGAGGCTGAGACAGAAGAATCACAAGTTGGAGACCAACCTCCAAAATAAGTAGGACAAGATCTCAAAATTTAAAAAGGGGGAGGGGGGCGGCGGCGGGGCGGGGTGGGGTGGGGGGGAGTCACTGTTAAAGCTACCTTAGTTTTGACCGTCAATAATATATATTCTTTGCAATATTTCACTAGGGAAAATGAAAATTAACAGATGTGTCCACTTGAAACATACGAGGAAGAACAAATATTTGATAAAGCTGTGAAGTGGAGAGAAAAATGGCATTTTAGAATGAATGCAGGAGGCAACTGCAATTTTAAGGATCTACAGCAGCCTTCAGAGGACCTACACCGGGGAGAGTAGGATTTGTGATCCTGTTTGCTCCACATTTGGAAGACTTCATGTAGGCAACCAGCAAGGAGGGGAGGGAACGCCAAGGACCTGATCCCAGCCCATCCCAAAGACCACTGGTACAGAGGCCCAGGGCCACGCGCCAGCAGAGACTAGGACCCACGCTCTGCAGCTGACCTCGGGACCCAGCCGTCGGCACACTCGGGGGACCAGAGAACAAGGCCCAGAGCCACCCGCCCGCCATGACTCCTCCACGCTCCGCAGCTCACCCGCGGGTGCCGACCGAGTTCCGCCAGCCCCGGCCGCACAGTCACCATTTTGGCTTCCATGGTGACCCGCTGTCCTCTCCAGGGACCTCCCGGCACCGGAGCTCTCGGAGAACAAAGGCTGCTCAGAGTCACAGAAGCCTCCGAAGCAGAACACGCGGCGCGAGGAAAGGCAGGAGCGGATTTGCTGAGGAAAAAAAGCCCGCCGGATTACCGAAGCCCGCCCGACTGCGGAAGCCAGCCCGACTGCGGAAGCCAGCCCTCCCCCGCCGTCGGCGCACCTGATTGGACAGTTCCACCCGGCGTCCCTGATGGACCGCCTCCAGGCGCGGCTCCGCATTGTGAGTGACGGCTAACATCACCCAATCACTGGCGAGAGGGACAGATCCTTGGGCCCCGCCCTGTTTCTCGCGGGCCTCTTTGCAGTTCTGGGACCCAATCGCGGAAGGAAGCCTTTGCTGGGAACCTGGCACGGAAGGTGACCTCTGGGCCTGGGCTGTGGCTCTAGGGAGAGGTTTTCCTAGCACGGGTGAGGCCCTAGGTTGTCACCTCACCACGGAAACGAACAGCAATGACAGCAACAGTTCCTGGGGAGTCTGAGGCAGGAGGAGCCCAAGTTCACGTCAGCTTCTGCAAACAGTGAGACCCTGTGTTGAAATAAAGTAAAAACGGTTGGGGACCTGGCTCAGAGGTCAACCCCACTGGGTTTGTTCCCTAGGACAGCAAAGAAGAACGAGGTGTATATATATTCTATCAGCTGGTGTGAGCTCGGGACTTAGCAAGACAGTCTAAGAACTTGTGAAACACTGTTTAAAGATATATATATATATATATATA